TTTAAAAAAAAGTCTTTTTTTTTTTTTTTTTAAGATTTTATTTATTTATTTGACAGAGAGAGCAAGAGAGCACAAGCTGGGGGAAGAGTAGGAGGGTGAGGGAGAAGCAGGCTCCCCACCAAGCAGGGAGCCTGATGCGGGCCTGATCCCAGGACCCTGGGATCATGACCTGAGCCGAAGGCAGACGCTTAACCATCTGAGCCACCCAGGCACCCCTAGACTTAAGTTTTTAAACTACAACTTTTCATTCTCTTTGTTATTAAACCTTAAACTCATTCAAACGGAAAGTTCTAGGGTGGGATCATACCTACTCTACTTTTTGTTTATTTAACAGTCCCCTTGGGTCGCCTGGGTGGCTCAGTCAGTTGAGCATCTGACATCTGCTCTGGTCATGATCCCAGGGTCATGGGAGTGACCTTGTCCCTGCTCAGCGGGGAGTCTGTTTCTCCCTCTGCCCCTCCCCCCCACTCGTGCTCCCGAACTCACTCTCTCTCTCAAATAAATAAATAAATAAATAAATAATTTAAACAAAAAAACAGTGCCCAGATAATTTGCAATCGTGTCTTAATAAATGATTCCTGATTATGACTGGAAACAGTGTTACGGTAGCTAGAGGGTAGGCTTCCAGCTTCTTTGAGGTCTCTTGAGCTAAAATACCTTCTGTTGCCTCTATTTAAATTACCATTGGTGTTTATTTCTGATAATCGGTAGTTCTTTCTAACTTTTTGCACATGACTCTATAAAATTTTTGACTTTCAGAAGAGTTTGCTAAAATGTATATCCTGGTAGGTGGTGGTGGTTTTTCAAACCTAACCCAGCTTCTCTTTCCAATCACTTATACCCATGTTGGAAGCCCAAAATGCAAATACACAGTAAGTCTAAAATATTGCCTGACCCAAAAAGTATTTAAAATATTTGAATCACTTCCACAGCGAACATTTACTTTCATCGGGACCTAGAAGAGGACTGTCTAACTTTTTTCATTCCCATTCCCTCTTTTTTTTTTTTTTAAGATTTTATTTATTTATTTGAGTGAGAGAACAGGGGCAGGGTGGGGTGGGGAGCAGCAGGCAGAGGGAGAAGCAGGCTTCCCGATGAGCTGGGAGCCCAATCCGATGCGGGACTTAATCCCACTTAACCCCAGGACCCTGGGATCATGACCTGAGCCCAAGGCAGATGCCTAAGCAACTGAGCCACCCAGACGCCCCTTTTCCCATTCCCTCTTCAAGCTTTTTTTCAACAGTCCTTACCTTTTTACATATTGAAGTTTTCATCCGTTTAAAGTTTGTGTTTACATATGTTTGTATAGCTCGGCTTATAATTACCATACTGAAACATAATTATTTCAGAGTTGAGTCAGTGGTGAGAATGAAAGCCATCTGGTATCATAGCTAAATCCAATTTTGCCTTTACTGAGATTTCTTTGATATGTAGTTTATATGAGGAATTGTGATTTAGTAGCAAATCAGAGTTCTCTTTTTCGGTGATTTTTCTTTTTAAAATCACATTAGGTCTAGCCGGGTAATAATTCTCTCATTTGTACAAGTCATCTCAGATTGTGACCATTTTCTTAAGTAACATTTCATTTTATTCTTTTTTTTTTTTTTTAAGATTTTATTTATTTATTTGACAGAGAGAGACACAGCGAGAGAGGGAACACAAGCAGGGGGAGTGGGAGAGG